AGAACCCACGTTGGATTTAGTTGAAAGGGTTAGTTGGAAATCCTTCCTTTCTTGAAGAGGCATGGCTTGGTTTTTGGCAGCTCCGTTTTTGCTGTCAATGAGAGGTTGGATTTCAGCTTTAAGCGGTCGAATTATTGAGTTCTTTTTGAGGGTCTCCCTGATTCTCTCAACTTCAGGCTTTTTTCTGGCCAGTGCCCTGGAAACTATAAGCAATAGTAAATGATCCGGGGAGGAATCCCCTGTGAAGGAAGCCCAGTGGGCTCTTTGGGACACCAGCACGTGTGAGTAATCATACCCAGTGTTGTATCAAGTGTCTTCTCATACACCGGCATCTCAGGAAGATGGACGGATGGAACGGACCTTCTTACTTCATAGAATAAGTTTTGCCGACTGCCAGAGGAAAGCTGAGAGCTGGAGAATGAGGTGCCCTGTTGTGGAGGGTCAGGGGGAGAATGTACTGGGGGCAGGTGCTGACAGGCAAGAAGAAGGGACTCATGTTAAGTAATAGCTGGGGATGACAGGAGAGAGGCCTCTTGCTTGGAAGGAAGATGGGATCAGAAAGTAGGGCCAGTTCAGCTGGGTGAGGTGGTGTGCACCTATAGTCCAGCTACTCGGGAGGCAGAGGCAGGAGGACTGCTTGAGCCCAGGAATTGGAGGCTGCAGTGAGCTATGATCATGCCTATGACAACATAGTGAAACTCCGTCTCTTAAAACAAAAAAAAAAAGTAGGATCAGTTTATGGATTATGGATTGAAGCCAGCCAGGTTATTTAGCATGGTTCGGGTAGATGGGTTTGAAGATGGAGTAGGTCCTTCTTCCTGCTTTGTTTTTCTGGTGAACGCTATGTCATTGCTTCCCCCTGTTTCCCCTGCTGACACTGGAATACGGGATATGAGCAACCTTGAAACTGGGGGTGAGAACACCTGAGCTGCTTCCAGCCAAGGGCCCCAGTACAGTGTGGATCCCCTCATTGGCCAGAGGGGACCATCCCATCTCCCCGTCCTCCCCAGCTCCTGGGAGTTTATGATGTGGGCAGCTCTGTAAGATGCTGTGCCCGTGGGGCATTTTATCTGAAGGATGAAATTTATCTGAAGGATGTCAGTCCTAAGAATAGGCTCATGGGCCACTGCAAGAAGGCCACCCAGCCCTTGCTTTTCCTTGCACAAAGGAAACCCCTCCTCCTGTGGGGAGCGAGGGGTTGAAGCTGTAACCCCAGGCCCCTGACTGCCCACTGGACAGCAGCATCCCTGTCTTGAGGGAGAGCCATCCTAAACATCTGTGTCTCTAGGACTGCACTGAACCACGCCACATGTTAACGCACAGTCTCTACTTTCTGGATGGTTTTCTTGTGGGCTGAGTCTTCCATGATACTTTTTGAAGCATCAGTTAAAATGGGCTTTACCTTTCAAGATGCAATATTTAAAGCTGTGGATGATCCAAAATGGGTCATTTTTCCTTGAAAAAGGAAACAACTTTAGTTTTTGTGTCTGATGGATATGGGATACTGGGGACCCAAGGTGCAGAGAATGAGAGCTTTTGAAGGTTAAGCAGCCTGGGTTATAATCCCCACAAGAGCCTTCATCCAGAGTGTAACCTGTGCCAGTTGATTAACCTCTGAGCCTCAGTGTCCTTATCTGTAAAATGGGAATTGTACTCAGCCTGCAGTACTGCTTTGAGATAATGAAGCAGAGCATGTTAGAAGATATTTCAGGAATGAAAGAATGAGAGGCTGAAAGGAAGGTATCTGTGCTTAGGGAGTGATTCTGGGGCGCGTTTAGAAACACGAATAAGTGAGAGGAGTGGAATGAAAAGCAGGAAGTATTTATGAATGGTGGACTCGTGTGTATTCTGAATTTGGAATTCCTCCTTCAGACACAGGATCCATAGTCAAGGTTAAAGAAACCCGTAAGAGGTTGAGAGTGTGTGTGTGTGTTTGGGGCTGGGGGCAGTGGTAGATAGAAGGGAAGGGACAGTGCTAGGAGAGAGAACATTTTAAAAGCTTACCCACTGATAGATTTGTAGCCCTGGGTAAATAGGGAAGCTTGTAAAACTTGATTCATTTTCTTCCTGAAGTCTGTTTTTGGTGGGGAGCAGGGGTGAGGACAAAGACAGCCAAGGGAGCCAAATGCTTTTAGGTTAGAAGTGTTTATATGTCCCCAGCACACACCATGTCCTTGAGAAGGGCCAGGGAAGTGTTTCATCCTGCTCCCTGTCCCTAAACGATCTTTCTCTTCCTAAGTGCCAGCTTCCCCAGTCCATCTGGGGAGGGACTGCCCACTGTCTGCCACCAGGGGCTGTGCTCAGGCCTCATCTAGGGATCTGTGCTCAGGATGACTTCCTACTTCCTTCCCGGCCTGTGGTTTGATCTTTTCTTTTGGTTAGGAAGTCTGTCCTTCCCTGTGCCTGCCCAGGCCTGCTCTGGAGATGTGAACAGGCAGCTGGGGCCACCAGTAACCAGTGAGGAGATAGGGTGTGTCCACAACTGGAGGCCCATGTGAACTGTTTAGGAATAGAAGCTACTGCTTTTGGAAAACCACTGCAGAAATGGAAAGGTGGTCAATGGGGGGAGATGAGAAGGTGATGGGCCTTGTATGTTGGAAAAAAAATTTTAGAGGGACTTAATGGAATATTTCTGTGTTTTGAAATAAAAATTATTTGGGGACCTAACATTTAAAAAAAAAAAAAAGATGTCTATTTTTGTTGCTGGGGTGGAATGTGCAGCCTGAGATTCCTGGGCTGTAGTTAGGGAAGGGCCAGCTCTCTGCCTTGGGGCCTTTGCACAGGCTGTTCTCCCAGCTTGGAGCACTTGCTGCCATTCTTTCTCCTCTCGGGGAACCCTGTTTATTTTTCATGTCTCAGTTTAGACATCACGTGATTCTAAGACGCTTCTAATAATCTTTGAGCCTCTGGGGGCAGAGCTTGTGGTGGGTCTTGTAAATTGAGGCCCTGACGCTTGGTGGATCCCCACTTAACATTTGTTGGCTGAAAGAGTGATCAGGGAGGATCAGGAGGCTGCCCACCTCCCAGGGCCTCTCTGTGCAGTCTGTGCATTTGAACAGCTCCCTGAAGTCTTAAAGCCCTCAGAACAAGTCCAAGTTCGTCTGCTGAGTTCGAGCCCTGGCCTTGGTGTTTGCCTTTCTTTTCTGAAGTAGGTCTTTGACTCATTGATGGAGCTTCAGATGTGAAGTGTCCTCAGAGGTGTGTGGGAAAATGCTCTCTGTTCAGTTAACCCAGCCTTTTGACAACTTCTGAGGCCTCTCAGGCTAGAAGCCCCGTGACTGTTCTCCTGCCCAGTTCTTGCTTTTTATAAAGGGAGTTGGGGAATAGGGTGGACAGGGATGTGGTCTGGAATCCAGAACTCCATCACTCAGCCTGTGTCTTAGTGGGGTGTTAACGGAGGATGATGGAAAATAGCCCCCTTCTGATTTCTTTCTCTCCCTCATAACTGTGTAGAAATATTTTATTATTGAACCACCTGTAATTCAGGGTTGGTGGCGATTTTATCAGGCCATACAAGTCTGCAGTTGACCTTTGCATTATCTGAGAAGACTTGTGTTTGCTTAGCCAAGGATAAACAAGATTCCAGTGTGGGTGGCTTAGGGCTTGGGGCTGTGGTCTCTGTGTGCAGGGTTGCTTCTCATTGTGAATGGCTCTTATCTGTTCTTCAACGAGGGTCTAGCCACACTGTAGAACAGGGACTTCTTTCTTTTTTCTCTCTTTTTTTTTTCCTTTTAGAGACGGAGTCTCGCTCTGTCGTCCAGGCTGGAGTGCAGTGGCGCAATCTCTGCTCACTGCAACCTCCGCCTCCTGGGTTCAAGAAATTCTCCTGCCTCAGCCTCCCGAGCAACTGGGACTACAGGCGCACGCCGCCACGCCCGGCTAATTTTTTTTTTTGTATTCTAATAGAGACAGGGTTTTACTGTGTTGCCCAGGCTGGTCTCAAACTCCTGAGCTCAGGCAGTCCGCCTGCCTCGGCCTCCCAAAGTGCTGGGATTACAGGCGTGAGTCACCAGGTCCAGCCGGGACTTATTTTTTTCTTTATTTTATTTTTTTGTCACGGAATTTCACTCTTGTTGCCCAGGCTGGAGTGCAATGGCACGATCTCGGCTCACTGCAACCTCCTGGGTTCAAGGGATTCTCCTTCCTCAGCCTCCTGGGTAGCTGGGATTACAGGCAGGCGCCAACACATCACGCCCAGCTAATTTTGTATTTGTAGTAGATAAGGGGTTTCTCCATGTTGGTCAGGCTGATCTCAAACTCCCGACCTCAGGTGATCCACCCGTCTCAGCCTCCTAAAGTGTTGGGATTACAGGCGTGAGCCACCATGCCTTGCTGGGGCTTCTTTATTTCTAAGCCTGCCATCCGGGCTTTTCCAAGGGCCTAAAATGCTTACCCCCTTTAAACAACTACTTTCTGCTACGATTGTCCTAATAGTATCAGTTTAGGAAGATATTTTATCCAAAAATCCACCCATAGGTCATCGAAGATACTTGTTTTTCTCACATATTCATCTAATCTGTCGGGTCTTCCATTCATTAAATATTTGATGCCTCTGCCGTTTGGCTATGGAAGCAAAGACACCAGCAAATCTTTTGCCCTCACAGAGCTCATAGACTATTTTCCTCCCCTTTATTTGGCGTTTATATATTTTAAAGTGCTAACTGGCTGGGTGCAGTGGGTCATGTCTGTAATCCTACCACTTTGAGAGGCGAAGGTGGGAGGATTGCTTGAGCCCAGGAGTTCAGGACCAGCCTGGGCAACATAGTGAGACCCTGTCTGTAAAAAATAAGAATAAAAATAAAAGGTTACTGCACATATATACTTTTTACTTTTTTATTTTTTGAGACAGAGTCTCACTCTGTTGCCCAGGCTGGAATGCAGTGGCACAGTCTCGGCTCACTGCAGCCTCTGCCTCCTGGGTTCAAGCAATTCTCCTTCTTCAGCCTCTGGAGAAGCTGGGATTACAGGTGCCTGCCACCATGCTTAGCTAATTTTTGTATTTTTAGTAGCGATGGGGTTTCACCATGTTGGCCAGGCTGGTCTTGAACTCCTGACTTCAGATGATCCACCCACCTCGGCCTCCCAAAGTGCTTGGATTGCAGTCATGAGCCCCCATGCCCGGCCTAACTGCACATCTTTAAATATAAGATATATCCTGCTGGTTCCAGTTGACTTGTCCCCTAGGAAGGCACAGTAATGCTTCCCAGCATCCCCTCATGAGATTGTGGGGTCACCCTGTCTTGCTGCGCTGGCTGGCTCTGTCATTTTTGGACTTGTTGCTTGGACTCAGCTGAGTTTTGCTTCCTCCTCTGTAAGGTGGTGGTAAATGATACCTTTTGGTCCCAGCATGGGTGGGTGGGTGTGGACTTGGTTGAGCCAAGTCATTTGAGGGCCTCGGCTAGGTGCCCCACCCAGGTGGGGGTAACAGTTTGGAGAAAGTGGTGATCACCTTGGTGAGAGCATAAACTGGAGATGTAGCTGAAACAAAATGTCCTTAGAAGACTATTATTCTAGCAAAAGTGTGTTAAAAATTGGTTATTGGAAACACAAATCTACAAGGACATAAACTAAAAGAATGAAGACTATACTGACTCTCTTTTTTTTTTTTTTTTTTTTTTTTGAGACAGTGTCTCACTCTGTCACCCAGGCTGGAGTACAGTGGCGTGGTATCAGCTCACTGCAACCTTTGCTTCCCGGGTTTAAGTGAGTCTCCTGCCTCAGCCTCCTGGGTAACTGGGACTACAGGCGCACGCCACCACGCCCGGCTAATTTTTGTATTTTTAGTAGAGACGGAGTTTCACCATGTTGGCCAGGATGGTCTTGCTCACCTGACCTCATGATCCACCCGCCTCGGCCTCTCAAAGTGCTGGGATTACAGGTGTGAGTCACCACTCCTGCCCTCTCTCTCTTTTTTAAAAGTATTGGAGTCTTACCTTGTCACTCAGGATGGAGTGCAGCCTCAAACTCCTCCTGCTTCAGTCTCTGAGTAGCTGGAACTACAGGCATGTACTACCATGCCCAGCCAATTGTCAGATTATTTTTTTTCTTTTTTTGTAGAGAGGGGGTCTCACTCTGTTTGCTGGGCTGGTCCCAAACTCCTGGCCTTAAGCAGTTGTCCCGCTTCAGCCTCCCAAAGTGCTAGGATTACAGGTGTGAGCCATCATGCCCTGCCTAATATACTGACTTTAAGGAAGCTTTCAGGGGCCCACACTCTGTCAGACTTGACTTAATTTTTCTAGGCTTTACCAACACCCCCAACCCATGGTTAGGGGTTGGGCGTTACAACTAGGCTGTGGTCACCTCTGAGGCACAGGTGTTGGCCGCAAAGCCACCCTTTCCAGTGAGTCAGCGAGTTTGTCTGGAATACCCCTCCCTAGGTGAGAGCCGAGGTCCTGGACTGGGACCACGATGGACCGTAGCTTCTCAGGAAGCCGAAGCTGGCCCTGGCCAGAGCTGCCTTGCAGACTTGAGATACAGATGGCTTCTTTCCCCCTCCCGTTTTCTTTTTGAAAATGTTTTTAACTCGGAGCATGTGTCGGCATGGCGTTCTTTTGACGAGGACAGAAGCTGTCACGGCACACAGCAGACACTGGTTCTGATCCAGAGCCGATTGTGGCCTGCTCCTGGGTCTAATTATTTGGCAGGCCAGGTGCTGGGGTCCTGTCCAGGGTATAATCAAGACTCAAGCATTTGGGCATGTGGGTGAGGAGGAACCATGGGGAGGGGAAGGAAAAAGGAGGAGGGGAGGGGTGTGACTTAGCCTGTCCAGACCACAGAGCCAGTCACTCACCCTGGAACAGCAGTGAAACAGCAGTGTCTGCTGCTCTGCGGGAAGGTCTGCCTATGACCTGGTGTGGGAGCTCAGGCTGCCACCAAATTGGGCGCCCAGCCCAGACCCTAGGGGAGGGAGGAGCCTGGAGCAGCCTTTCCCTGGTGAGATTGGACACATTCCATTTTCCTCTCTGACCAGAGAGCCTTCTCACCCCTGGGTGTACAGGCTCTCTCCGCTAACAGAGGCCCTCCTCCAGCCCCATTGTCCCCACTGGGAGACTAGGAATGCCCCTTTCCCGGCCCCCAAAAATGAGTGAGCTCCCAATGCCAGGCACAGAGTGAAAGCCTCGTGTTTTAGAACGGCGAGTGGGAAGGACTTGACGTGCTGTGTTCTTACAGGAAGGGCAGGGACGATACTGCCTTGTGCTTTGCCTGGTACATGGTAGGGGCTTAGGTATTTGGGTGAACAGAGTGACGTCCAGAGAAAGCAGGACTTTGGCTTGGGCAAGGAGTGGGTGGCAGTAGGGAGGGCTGTGGTCTGTGGAAGGGGCACCGTGTCTCTTGGCTTTCTTCCACTGTCCCTGCCGATGGTGACAGCCAGCCAGCCTCCTGGCCATACCATTGTACCGCCTCTTTTGGCTTGGTCCTGGGCGTGGATGTCAGATTTGCTTTGTTCATGTAAAATGTGGTGGGATCATGTCTTTCCCTCAAATCAAATTCCAACCAAAATCAAAACAAAACAAATCAAGAGTCTCAGTGAAGACAGCCCTGAGGGTTCCGTTGTCTCAGCCTGGGAGCCCGGGTCGACCCTCACCTGCTTTTCAGATTTTGCCATGTTTATTACAGACGTCCCCATCCTGGTGCTGGGCACTCACTTTCAATACAGGTTAATTCTCACAACCTCCAGGTATGGTACGCAGTGGTCTTAAGGAAAGAGAAAACAGAAAAAGGCCGCACAGGTAGGGCTTCAGAGAGCATCTGAGGGCACCCAGGGTAGCCGAGGTGTGTTACTGGCGAAGGCCCTCCTGCGGACTAGAAAACCCGCATCTCGCTCCTGTGTAGCAAGTGTCATGTCTGTCACTGGCTGACACTTTGAGGGTTTTTCTTTTCTCCAAATAAATAATTCTTTGTCTCTCTTCAGGGTGGCAGATCGGGGCTGGAGGGAGGCAGCCGTCAAAAGCAGCCTGGCTGACTATGAACAAGTGGGCCGGGGTGGGGGCCCGGCCAGGTGGTGGGGCCAGGAGAGCCAGTGTCCTGTGTCTGGCGTGGGTGGGGAGGGTGTGGGAGACACCTGAAGCCACCTCGGAAAATGTTGAGTGGGACATTTCTTGCCCAGAGATGTGTGAGTGAAATATTAGACTAAATAGGGAGTTCCTTCCTCGGAGGAGGAGAAAGCAGGCTCTCTTTTCCTGTCCCTTTGTCTCCTGTCCCCTTTGTCCCAGCCCTCCAGCTCTGCGGCCTCCCCTCCCCCAGCGGTTCCTTCCTTTGTGCCCGCCGGCCACTCACCAGCGAAACTTAACTCAGCCCCAGGCCTCACTCCCCTCGAAACAACAGAAGGAGCTAGTAGGGCAGGCCTGGCTGTCAGCGCCTTGGACTAAAAGGAACCAAACCGCCGTCCCAGCCCCCAAAGGTGGCAGTTAATTTAGAAGTTTGGCGTTGACTGTTGGCCGTCCCTTCAGAGGGAGCAGCTTTGGAGGGGATGTTGCTGCCCCAGCCAGAGGGATTGGGGGCTGTAGCTGAGGCCACGAGACCTGGCCTTACACCCCTTTTCCCTGGTAAAGGGCCCTGGGTTCTCCACCAAAGCCCTTCTTTTTCCTGCTCTGAGTGGTTTGGGGTTCTTTGTGCAGTGGCCAGAAATATGGACATGCAAACTGTAACAGAACCCCACCCACACTTCTGGGTAGCGACGCACCCATATTTGTTACATGATTGTCTTAATCCCCTTTAAGCAAGGATTAGCGATAACTGGGGGGGTTAAACAAAAATCAGAAGGAAAAACTGTAAGTTGGGGAAAATCTGTCCATGAAAGAAAGTTGATGAGAATATGGGAAAGTTGGGCTAGGTTCAGTTCATTTGTTATAAAAATGGGAACTCTGGCGCCTTGTTTCTAAGCTGATGGCCGGAGGTCTCAGGGCATCTGCTTTTTGGGGGTGTGTGGCCTGCATGTCAGGAGAGTGAAGGGACTGGGGCCTGTGGAGGTTTGGTAGACTCGGTGTGGATTTGTGCCTTGTTGAGGCCGAGCAGAATTGTGAATCGGCGCAGCTTCATTATTGCTGGAAGTATTTTTCCTTCCTTAAAATATCTAATTTATTTAAGCACACATGTTTAAAATAATAAGATAACATATAAATTTAGAAATACTATATTCCACCTTCAATTTACGTGAAATATTTTATTCTAGGTCTTCATATGCGTTTTTGTTATCAGTGTCATAAATGCTGTCATCAAAGCCAGTTTTTGTTTTCTAACCCACCTTTCTAGGACGTATCACCAACACTCCCAAGTTGTTTGACATACATTATTTTTCTGCTTTGTGTATGATGCTTCCTCTGGGAATTTTGTCCCAAGCCACAGGAATCCATTAGAACATGAAAACAGTGGCTTTGTAAAAATGTGTCTCATAGGTGTCTGTCGCTGGAAATGCTCCAGCAGATCTGAGATCTCTGCTGTGATGCTGGGTCGGGGAGTGGGGGGCACTGCCCTTCCTGAGTGTTAAGAGCCTGGGTGCGGGTGTCCCACCTCCAGCCACCTGTGTGACCCTGCTCTTTCTTCAACCTCAGTATCCTCATCTAGAAGAAGCAGACAGCAGTGCCTAGAGCTCACTTCTCAGGATTCAGTGTGTGCCCAGTGGCCTGTATACAGTAAGCACTCAGTACACTGAGGTTGGGCTGTTGGAGCACTCCCGCCCTTCAGGTTTACAGAGTAACCTTGAGGGCTTATCAGACAGGGCCTGGAGGCAGACCTTGTGGGGAAAGCGAGGAGCACCGTGGGTTTCAGTTTTGGGTTTTGGAGTGGGGAAACCATTCCAGGGGAAGGGGGGTGTGCTTTCAGTAATGGTGATGAGGCCTGTGGCTCCCCCCCCTCATTTATTGATTGCTTGCCTTTTAACCGTAGTGTCTCTTTGCCAGCCCTCTGGCATTTTCAGAGTGGAATGTTTTAAATGCCCTTGGTTGGGGACTCTGTGTCTTGGAGGTGAGAGAGGGCCTTACCTCTCTTTCGGTCTCTAGAAAAGCTTTGTCATTTAATGCTTTTTATTGCAAAGCTGACAAAAGCTTACCTGGACTTGTAACGGAGGGGCCGGGCTCTTTGCGTGGGAATTAGCATTGTCATGGTCATGACTTGTTGGTCACTGGGTGACAGATGGTAGTCACACCCCTAGGCCTCAGTTGGGACGGAAACTCCTGGGATGGGCAGTGGCAGGAGTGTCTGTCAAGGGTGTCCAGGTTGTCGGGACAGATTTGCATCGCCGTTTGTAAATAAGTGCTGCTTTGAATATCTACCTTTGATGCGCTGGTGGTGGAGGAGCTGGGATTCCCAATTTAGATGTTTGATGTAATTTGAAACTGAAACCATCAAAAGTCTATCTCATGAAGAAGAAAAGGAGGGTGAAAGTCCCCCTCCTGGAAGTTGTCACCTGGCTGAGATTTTAATTCGTTTGGTTTGAAGGAGTCCAGGCTGACCATATGTTGAAGGCCCTGTCCCAAAGAGGAGTTTTTCCTTCGCATTATTGCATTTCATTGAGGGAATTAGCCAAATGAAGTCAGAGCAGGCAGCGTGTCTTGTTACTTGGTGGAGCTGTAAGGGCTGCGTCTTCAGGTTGGGAGCGCCATTGCTTGACTCACCATTGCTGGGCCAAAGCAAGAAACGGGTAGTGGGTTTAGACGTTGGCACTGTTGGCAGTGGTAACATGCTTAAAAGTGGAATTGTGTGGATGAAAGAACTTGAGGAAAGGGGTAGGGTGGGAGCAGGTTTTTTCCTGAATGGGCAAGGCCTCAGGGCCACTATACCTCTTAGAGGTGTGTGACATACACACACGCACACAGACACAGACACGCACGCATGTGAGTGAAAGGGGTGGAGGGGAGACCAGAGACTAAGGGAGGGGAAGGGGGTCCAGGAGTGGATGGCTGGGCTTGGGGGAGGGGTTCCCTGTTTGCATAACTGATTGTTGCTCCTGGGGACTGTGGAGGGGGGGAAGCCAGCACAAAGGCTCTTTCCTCCCCCTCCCTCCCTGCCCCGTCTCCCTCTCCCTCTCCTACTTATCCCTCTCCCTCCTCTTCCCTGCTCTCCTCCTCCTCCTCCCTTTCCTCCCTGAGCCTGGTCAGCACCACCTTGTGGCCCCCCTGGGCAGTGGATGGCACTGGGCTGGCCTTGCCTTTGCTTCCCTGCAGGCAGGGTTTGCCACCGCCAGGGCCCTGTGGCAGGCAGGGCTACCGCAGCCGCCTGTAGCGTCAAGATAAAGTCCAGAGGAAGGCTCTGGCTGTGGGTCACCCTTTAAAGGCTGTTACTTTACACAGATGGCTTCTATGTGAGCTCGGAGGTACTCGCCCCTCACCATCCTTTCCACCAGGACTGGAGGCTTCTGGAGGGGGGACTGGCTGGGGGCGCCTCTCATGAATGGTTTTTCTGGATCCTGTCTCCTGGGCCCACAACTTGACACTCTTGAAGAAGCACTGGAGTCACAGTCAGCTGCTGGTGTGAAAGTGGCTGGCAGCAGGATTGTACTGTAGCAGCTTCAAGCAGGCCTCAGAATGGGGATGAGGTCGAGGTGCCTGTGGACTGGCCTGTGGGGAAGAGCTCAGAGCGGGATCCCCTGGCAGACCCCAGTCTGGCTGGTCCACCACACATCTTTGCTAAATAAATAAATTGAATGAATGCATGCAGTGTGACCCCCCCAAGTAGGAATAAATAAATTCCCCTAGGTGGTTTGTCATCCACATGTGGGCTTTTCTGTCTGATCCTTAGTGTCCCTAGCAGTCCCACGGTGGTGACTTTTCAGCACTGTCAGGCTGTCTGACGATCGCTATTGTGCTGCGTGCCGAGCCCTCCAGGCTCTGATCACAGGGTCCTGCCCAACACCTGGGGACACAGAGACAGAAGCAGGCCCTGTGGACAGCTAGTGGAGAAGATGGGTGGCATGTGCAGGGCCAGGGGCGAGTCCTGGCCCAGCCTCCGCTGCTGCCTTTTTTGGTTTGCCGCAGGATAAGGTTACAGGTTGGGAACCAAGAGTCCCGCAGTGATGGGTGGGGTGCTGTGCATCTTCCCAGGGAATGCTCTTGTCCCCTCCCTGTCCCTGGCTCCGGCCTTCTACCCACCTGAGTGGTGCTTGTCCTTCGGCTATATGACGTTTTCATGAAATGAGGACTAAAGAATGTTTTTTTATTTTTTTATTTTTTATTTTTTATTTTTGAGACGGAGTCTCGCTCTGTCGCCCAGGCTGGAGTGCAGTGGCCGGATCTCAGCTCACTGCAAGCTCTGCCCCCCGGGTTTACACCATTCTCCTGCCTCAGCCTCCCGAGTAGCTGGGACTACAGGCGCCCGCCGCCTCGCCCGGCTAGTTTTTTGTATTTTTTTAGTAGAGACGGGGTTTCACCGTGTTCGCCAGGATGGTCTCGATCTCCTGACCTCGTGATCCGCCCGTCTCGGCCTCCCAAAGTGCTGGGATTACAGGCTTGAGCCACCGCGCCCGGCCTAAAGAATGTTTTTAAGCGAGTTCGCGCTCTGCAAGTTGGTTAGTCCCTTGATAGCTCACGTTGGATTAGGTGGGGGTTTGCCTTTTACACTCCGTCTGCGTTCTTGGGGGCCAGGGCTGGGTGTGGTTAGCATGGATTTGCTTTGCATTCTGTCCCCTGCCAGGTGGGGTGGGGGATGAAGGGAGAAAGGTATGGGGAACGCTTGTTCCACCCGCAACAGGCTTTACCGATTGCCTTGCATCTTCACCTCGGCTTCTGTGAAATGGGGATAATGTAAGCATCCATTATAGGGCAGTTGAGGGTGGTTTGTGAACAAATTTCATCCTGGAGAATGTGAAGTGTTTGGTATCAGTTGTCCTGGAAAGGCTTGGACAGGTCAAAAACTTCTAGATGGGAAGGAGCAGGGCCTCAAGAAACTGTGATGCCCTTTTGGGACTTGCTGAAGAGATTAATGACAAAGGTTGTGTGGGATGACCTGGGGTGTTTGCTCAGAGTCGTATTCCCAGAGCCTGTGCTCCTTGTGAGTAGCGGCAGGAACCAGGGCTTCAGGCCTCCTGGCTACCCAGTCTCTGGGTCCCTGACACGCTGTGGGCTGCTGGCCACTTGCTGCACACACATTCCTGCGCACCTGCGTCTTACCTGCCCAGACTGCCTTCCCAGGTTCTGTATAAGCCCTGACTTCTCTTAAGAAGGCTGCCCTGGGTTGCTTTGCCGTTCTCAAAGACAGGCTTCCAGCCAGTGCCCATTGGGCTTTTTGAGCCCTTTAGTCACCGCTTCCCAGGATGTCCCTGTGCAGGGCTCTGGAGAAGTCTGTAATAGCCTGCCTTTCCTGTCCAGCAGGAGAGAGTGTAGTGGGGATAATGGGATGAACATCACACTGACCACAGCTCCAGTGGTCCAGATGCACAC